GTCTACTATGAACATCTTTCTTTCTGCATAACTAATAGAACTACATCTAACATTTCAATAACCTCCTACTACATTTAAGATACATTTTTTTTTTAAATTACTGGTTACAGAAAAATGCAGAAACATAGCATGAATTTAAGGACTTAATTACCCAATTCCGAGCACTGTGTTATGTAAGCTGATGTGCACCTAACCCTTCTATACACCAGAATACATAGATGTGAATAAACACTCATTGTGGAGTGCTGCAATGGCAAAAAAGTGAGGTCCATTTTTTGGTTAGTAAAATAAATGGGCACATACAATGCAACTTATGCTGAAGCTCATGAAATATGCATCTAGGTGTACATTACTACACATGAGACAGTGTCCAATGTCTAACAGTATTAGAATGCCTGTTGGGTTTTTACTGCTACCCTTGACTGCATTAAAGGAATTTACTTGTTTGCTAACAATAACTTCACCAGACAGAAGAGAGGGAAAATGAGGTCCAAGTTTTCCCATATTCTACTAAGGAAAAGTATTTCTGTCTGTTGAAGAGGTTTCCTAATTTCCTGTTTGCTAAAATATTGTCAGCACAACAGATGTCCTTAACTTTTACCACTCTGTCCAAAATGAAGTAACTGCTGATATAAATAGATTCACAAACATTCCCTTTCTAAACAGAGGCTACCAGGTGAGAGGAACTGGCTGCCCTTAAGTGGATCAATGTGATTGAGGCATTTGCTTACAGTACCATCTAGCAAAGCGACCAGACTTCTTTTAGTCATACAGGAAGGACACCCATCCATTCTTGGTGGTGGCCAACGGAACCCAACCCAGGAGACCTGCCAAAGGTGGGATCCCACAAAGTAGAGGGAACCATCTGTTCTAGAGGCATGCAGGGCTCGGTGCACAAAAAAAAAAAAAGGGATGACAGGCACCGTCATTTTAAGTCTCCTGTCAGCACTTTTTTACATTTAACACCTAACTTTTACCTTAAGGAGGGATTTCAACTGCTGATCAGTAGAATCCTTAAATGTGAGCATATCCTCTACCTGCCAAGTGGTGCTCCTGTTAAGTTGAGTCACTGGGAGATCCACGGTGGGTATAGACCACCGTTTAACAAATTCCTTCTTGAAGGGGGATAGTTCTGACACCCTCAGGTGGGGCCTAGGACCTTCAGGGTGCTTCTAGTCTGCATAGAAGAATTACTTTTATAGTAGATAAGATGGTAAGGTCTCTACAGCTGCAGAAGTTCTGAAAAACCCAAGGAATCGGATGCAGAGATGCAAAGTGTAAGGCAAGGGCTCAGGTACCCAGAAATCCAAGCAGCTAATGCTGATGAGGGTTGGACAGTTGCAAGTTTAATTTGGTGCGTTGCAAAGCAGGAGCATTGGCGGTATAATACTTCCTCTAAGCTGAATGGCTGGATAGAGTGTGAAAAAAGCAAATGTGCTAAGTGCTTCAGTGTTAACCCTAACCACGGTGAAAGGAAATGTGAAAAGGCACCCAGTAGTGCTATAGTGAGGTAGCCTCCAGTGCTTCAGCCCAAATGGCCTTGCTCACAAAGAGAATTTTCAGATCTGCCAATCCAGATAGCTTCTATATAGAAACCAGCTCAAGCTGGGTTATAGCAAACAATCTTGAATTATATCACAGAGGAAAAAGATTCCATGAAGAAAAGAAAAGGCTAGCAAAAAAAAGACCCAGACTTTTCTCAGCAGAGCTGAGGAAAATAAGTGTGACCTTGAAGGAGACTAGCAAAACGCTAAGGCATTCTGGGTGTAGTAGGGGTTATCCTGGGCTGGCCTACAACCTTTTTGTTTGCCAGTTATCATTGCTTCTGTAGATGGCAATATAAACCGACAGTATCTAAATTCCGAAGCAATGAGAAAGAATCATGGTTTAAAGTAGGAGCAGTGCGTAGGATGTGTAAACAAAGAAGATCACATAGAGCTGCACATCATTTGCGGCTAGCTAGCCCTTTGACTCCCTAGGCTCTCACTGATATTGTTCAGGTATTTGTTACCTTCATTTAGGAAGTGTAGAAATACAGCTTAATCCTACCAATCTCCAAAAATCAATACTCAACTATGTCTAAGATATCTCATGGGGGGGCAGCAAACATTTCAAAGCTAAATATATTACATGTCAGGGATCTGTCTAAAATCTGTTCAAGACCATACAGCTGAGGAATTCCACTTGGCTAGTTGATTTTTTGCCAAATAAAAATGGAAAACAAAATGCAGTGTTTGCAGACAAACAGAATGCAAGGAGGCTGATTCTTTTCACACATTACTTAATACTAGCATACAGACGCACTACGCTGTGTGAGAAAAATTGGAAGATATAGACAATATAGAAGAACAAATAAAGATAACACGGAACATCATTTTCATTTTCTAAAACAAAGAAAATAAAAACAAATACCAAATAAGGTTATGTGAAAAAGATTGTTAAAAAGGACCTAAGTTGAGGAAGCTGCCCCAAAAAAGTGGAAGGCCCGTTGCCCACTTTATTGACTTACAATTCCCTGTTCCACATGGTGTGCCTGTGTGGAGGCAGCCATCTTGGAAGAGGAGCAGGGCTTAGTTTCCTCATGCCTCATAGTGGGGGAAAATTAAAAATGCATCGAGAGGCAGAGAAAGCACAGAACCACAGAATGAATCCTTGCACTGCAGGTCCTCTGGTACAGTTTTCTCTCCAGCTAGGAGAACAGCACAGTAGTAAAATCACCAAACCCAAAGCCCATTGGACTGGTAGTCAATAGCACAGTGCCTTAGTCCTTATCCAATACGTAAACATATGAGTGACTAGGCAGATGATATGTACTGCTAATATTTAGGGGGAGTTAAAGACAAAAAAGTCAAAATCTCCAGATGTTCCCTGATAACATAGCAAAAGTATCCTTTTTGAGCTCAGTTCCAATTTCAAGCCAAACTGAAAAAGTTTGGTTTTACCTAAAAGTCAGTACATGCTACCAAAGACACGTAAACCATTAGATTGTCCTCGTGGATTCAGTGGTCCCAATTTTCTAATTACTAGGGCCTAGGAGGGTAGTGAATTACTCTTGTAAACAAAACTCACAAAAATGGCCCAATTTCAGAAAAATGTCCAGTCTTAGACAACCAGCACTTGTTCATAGTTGTGCTTTGCTGTACCAGTCGCGTGGATTATTGTCATCATAAAACCAGTAAGTGTTCGCCCATAAAAAAAATAACTATATTGAAATTTTAAAATGTGGATAATGCCTAAGACAATCCTATATAAATCAATATTATTTGTCCTTACAATGTCATTACAAATTTAAGCAGACTCTCCAGGCTTTTGGAGCACTATGCAATTTTTCTTGTGGGGCAAGAAAGCCTTTAACCTGGTGCATCGTAACCCAGTTACAGGATTCTATGGATAAAAGCTTTTGGTTGGCTACAAACAAGCCCCAAAGCATATCAAAATGTAACATTTTAAATTATTAAAGGTTTACTCTACCCAAAACCAGTATTTTCATTTTTAGCAGATGATGAAATTTAACACTAGGAGGGTTATTCACAAAGGAGCCGAAGGATCTAGCCGTAGATTCAGCTGATCCTTCGGCTCACTTCAGCCACCGGAGCCCTTCGGTTCAGTCGAACCAGAGGACTGCTGTACGGGTCATTCACTATAACCCGTACAGCAGCTGAAGGCAGGCGAATGTCTCAGCCGTGCCGAGACAGAAGTCACAGACGAAGCGGAAAGAACGCTCTGCCGAAGCAGACTGTTTTCCCTGCAACTGACAACTGGGCGGAACCAGCACTGATGTGACGGCTGGCTCCGCCAAGTTGTTGTCATTCAATGACAGCCCAGCGTCCTCAAGGACAATGGGCTGTCATTACATGACAGCAACTGGGCAAAGCCGGCTGTGATTTCACGGTTGGCGCCACCCAGTTGTTGTCCTTCAATGACAGACCAGCGTCTGGAATTAGCCGGCCTCCGCCCAGTTGTTCTCATTTGTCCGGGATCTGCAAGAAGACTGGCAGGTGTCTGCCAAATGTAATCAGTTGGGGCGGAGCTAGTGGTGATGTCACGGGGGGGAGGGCTGGGTACCCCAATGCCCGAAGACCCCCACAACTAACCCCTCAGGGCTTGTGGGGAAGAGGCTTTTGTCCCCATTGCCATTTTTGGTGGGGGTGGGGTTTCTCCTTAAAGTTCCTAACAGACCAAAATGTTTTTTTTTTTTTTTTTTTTAACTTGGGGTCCCTCCTAACTTTCCTACCAGACCTAAAGGGTCTGGTATGGTTTGTGAGATGGAGCACACACTGTTTTTTATTTCTTTACATTTAAAAAAAAAATTCTTAGCTTCTTTTTCTTTTATTTAAATAATGTTTTTACATTTTGTTTTACTTACATTTTTTTTTAATTCTGATCTCTACCCTTCTTTACCCTGGAGGTAGCGAGCAGAGTAGCCAAGCCAAATGTGGCTCGGCAGCTTAGTGAATAACCCTCTAGATCTTTTTCTCTTTTAGAGACTCTAGTGTTGAGGTCTTGCCACTGTTGTTCCAAACACTGCTTCCACTACCTGGGACTCGTACTCCTACTGCATTCATTGTCATAAAAAAGAATAACCCAGCACCAAGAGTGCAACATAATTCATACAGCAGTGGGCTTGCCATGAAGTTTGTGAGCATTAAATATTGCATTAAAATAAAAAGCTGAATTCTTTATCCAACACAAATCCATTTTTCAAGGACAGACCTTTGAACAATGCATTCTACAGACATATTTTATATTGCTTACTTGTTATCTTTTCAATAATCACCACAAATGTTTATTATACAGTCAATTACATTGGTTACTGAACATTATTTTGGATGCATTTTCTTATATGCACTGCAACTAATAGATTATAATATAAATTACTGTCATAGTTGAATACGGTATAACAAAAGCCACTAGTGTTCTAAGCAAGGGTGGAATTTCTAGTACAGTACTACAATATAACACTGTTTCACTGAAAGTTCCTTTAAAAAGCATATGCATACCGGAGGCAATTCTGCCAGTTGGTTCCCATCCAGCCAGAGGTCCTTCAGTTTGTGTAGTGATCCAATGGATTCTGGCTGCAATCCAAAACAGGATCTTATTAAATTATGTGCATTTAATGCAACATTTACAAAAAACAGCAGGCAATGAAGAATGACACTCATTGTATCAGTGCCTCTACATCTCTAATGACAAAAGTATATTACAGTCTTTTTTTCCCCTGCAATCCAAGAGTTTAATTATTCGTAATACAATGAAATCTCTTTAGGTATGTATTCATGTCCCACCCAAGAGTGAAATAGTTCTGGAGAACTTGCACAATTGGTGGCTGACTAAATACTTTTTTGCCCCACTGTATATGACAAAAAAATAGAATTACCCCAAAACCTTACAATTTCCCTTCAAAATAACAGACTTTAGCATCTATTTTTTTAAATATTTTATCTGCAGTATAACAGGGATCCTGAGCGACTACATGCCAATTACAGTTAACCACCATAGGAGAAATCTAGAAATCTATTCAATCTCTTCCATAAATCTGCCACCTGCACCAGACCACTACCTCTAGCTTCCATGTGTTCAAAAGCTGTATTAGACAAGCCACCTTGGCTGAATACTGATAGCAGAGTCACAGGAAGAACAGGCCTGCTGTTCAGAAACACCAATGTAATTTTTTTAAACAGTGGATTTTACATAAATTGGCAGATTTTCATAACAGACCTTTAGAAATAAAGAAGCTGTGGTTTCCCTTTCTCTATTGTTTTGGATAAAAAATTTTCCAAGACAGGTGAACAGTTATAATTTCAGAGATTGGTAGATGTCTTTTTATACAAACGCACCTAAAGATTACTAGCTTGTGTGGCTAGCCTTAAGGTGCCCACACCTTGTGATTACCGTTAGAAAAGGGAACGATCATAATTACTGTACAACTGGTCGAATTTCCCCAATCGATCAGGCTGGAAAACTTTGAAATCGTAAAAAATTCAATAGATCAGTGTCATTTTCGCCCAAAAAAAAAAAAAAAAATCGCATCATGAACACTGCAAATGCGCAAATGAAAATCCGTTCTGTCGATCGATGAAATTCAGCCAGTTAGTGTTGCTAACGAACGATAATCGAAATCTACATTGATCTGTGCATTGTGGGGTATTCGAGCGGACATCGAACGGGGGTTCGATGAGACGAAAGAAATCGGATGATAATTATAAGATGTATGGCCAGCTTTAGGTAATAGTATTTTTCAAATGTTGCCAATGGTAAATGGCCAAAAAGGACAAATAATTACTAGCTATACTCCTCATTTGAATACCACATGTAGTGTTGTTGGCAAACAGTAAAGAAAAACATTTAGGCATAACTTTCAGTAACCAAATTTACTTAGAAACTGGGTCAGAAAGCTTTCTCAAACTACAGTAAATACGGTTCTCATTTAAAAGTGGTTCATTTTTATTTTTGACATCTGCAATAACCGTAATGGCATAGCAATAAAAATGTGAACATCTCTTACCAAGTTATAGATTTCATTGTTTCCTAAATCAAGCTCTTCAAGTCTGTGAAGCTGGGAAAGAGACCTGCCAAGAAACAGTAGGTCAGTACGAATAAGAACAAAGGACAATTTTCTAGTGGGCAAAACAGCATAATTGATCTTTATCCAAGAATAGAATGTTGTTTGTGTGGAAGATTCCATGGAGTGCTTGTTACATCAAGCAATGTGAAAAAGAAGTCGCAACAAAACCTTGGCTCGAAAGGGTTAATAAGTTGTCTGATGTGTATATAGAGTGTATGACTGATACCTGGGTGTAAAGGTTTAAAAATAAAATACTTAAAGTGTCACTATAGCTTTTATGCCATACATTTTAATGAATGCAATAATCTCATCATATATACAGACAAGCCAAGTAAAATTATGTGATGCAAGTCAGCTGAAAAAATAAATAAATAAAAAGGTCCTTAGAAAATGTACCCTAGCTACCCAAAAAATGTAAATCAAACATATTGTAAATGACAAGGGGCTGCCATTTATAACCTCTTTCTAAAAATCCTAGCTGTATGGTCATTAAGCTAATCTTACGCCTCAAATATTTCCCAAGTCATTAACCCAGAACAAGTAGGCAAATCAGGAAAATCAAAGCAATATCAGTTGTCCTTATGTGCTTTCTTGGTTTGAACCACTGATTCAAGCCACAGGAACAGCATGACAGCCATGCAACATTCTCAGAAGAAGCCAGCCACATCATCTTCCATGTTTCACTCTTTAAACTAATCATGAACAGATAATACATTAGCTTATCAATGGTACAAGGCATACTAACTGCTCTTAATGTGAACTAAACTTGACCTAAAAAGCACACAAGAGAGCAGAAGTGTGGGCGCTATGTGGTACCTGCAAGTACCAGTCCTAATCTTCAACTCAATCTGTGTTTCCATGGATACCCTTGGATCTTAGGACCAAGCTTGTACTCAGGGCTTCAAAAGCTCCCCACGTATCTATTAAGCCACATCCTTTCAGCCAAAACAGAAAGCGCCCCAGACCTGTTATCCAACTGTCAAATGTGATGGTAGAGCGCCTGAGAGATAGAAGGACCTGGTGCCCCCTAGCGTATACCAAACATTAAAAAATAAAATTAATTACTCTTAAGGGTAACTGCCTTTCCAGGATTCCTTTAGGACTTCCCATGAACCAAATCAATGAATTAAAAAGTCTGTCCACGTACTTACTGGGGCAGGAATGATGACGATTAGAATAGTGTTGATGCTCTCCCTGTCAAAAGGGCCCAGGCTTTGGCTGCAATGGCAACGTTTTGGAGGCTGCTGCAGGTATATGAAGGCACTTCTAGGTTCATGCCTGCACTTCACACCTGTAGCATTTTTATTCAGTATGGCTCCACATTTGTGTATTGTGGTAACATGCATTTGTTGTGCATTGCAGTGCCATTCATTTTGAATGGCATCCCAATAAATACAACATGTTAATATGTGTGCGGTAATGCACCACAGCACACTACAGAGATGTAAAAGGGGACTTAACTGACAGCAAATCTTTAACCTTGTGGAATCAGAAAACCAGAAAAAGCTAAGTGGAACATTTTAGAAAAGACTTCATTAGTACTAAATCTTCAAGAACAGCTGGGATGCCATCAAATGCCACAATCATCACATGCTAGGCCCCATTGACTGCACTGTTGGGACTCCTATCTTAATATCCAAAACTATTTAGATCTTACTATTTGAAAAGTATTCAAAATATTCTGCATGTAAAGTAGATTGAAAAAAAAAATACAGTAAATAGCGCTACTTGAATATTAACTCCCTAGCAGGGTTGGGAAAATTGTGATCAGTAGGACTTAGAATACCACCTGGAACGATAGTTCACAAATTAGTCCATAATGTGTAAATATAATGTTAATCCGTGATGATTTAATTGCAAACCACAAACAAAATTGTTACCAATGTTTTAATGGATTACGGACATTTGTTTTAGCATGTCAACGCACATGTTTTCATTGATGCTAATTTGACAAAACAGCCCCCAGCATATAAAAGTCATTAACTTACTCTGGTAAATAGGTCAGTAAATTTTCTCTCAGCTCTAATGAAACCAGGTTTGTTAGTCTGGAAAACAAAAAACAAAGCTTTAGTGTAACATGTTTGAAACAAAAACTCACAAAATAGATTAAAAGTTTATGTCGGGAAAATTCCCCATAAACAGAAAATGATCAGTGTTACTTAGCTATGGTTAAAGCCATTCGCAAACATCTGGCAGCAGGCAGGTGAAGATTTGAGGGATAAACAATGACATAATCTCCCAACAAGCATGTAAAATGAAAGCTTGACTCCAGATAAACAGCTAAATACACAGTTAATATACATATATGAGAGTAGTTTTAAATCGCCAAAGGATTTATATTTCTGCCCATTGAGTCCTGAGATTTACAGACGTGGACACATTTCTTGATATCCTTCCATAAAAAAGAAGAACCCACAATTTTCTCAGAAATAACTTGAAACTCAGTTAAGTAATTGGAATCCATCATTGTTCATTTTACAACACTATCCTTTGCTTTCACTAGTTAATGTTCAGCGTGGTGCAAAGCGACGACTTTTGTCCATTGAAATATGCTGAGTGATCAATTACAATGTTGAAGACATAACAGAAAACAGCTAGTGTAAAATATCACTATGGCCCACTTATTTATAACCTTTTCTAGGGGGACCAACAAATCGGTCCATACCAGGCATACATACATGAAACAATTGCATTCAATTTCATAATTTTTCAGGAGGAAGAAAGAATTGATATAATGAGCTGTAAGGCGCAACAAATTCATCTACATTTCTACACAGCACAGTTCTGTCTGGCCGGGAAGGAGACCTAATCCTTCTTTGTTGCAGTTTAGTACTTACAGGTCTTGTCCCTACCCTAGCCTTTTGACTGGACAGTGAAAAGGAAAGCAGCAGACTGATGAGCTCATCTCTCCTTCACTCTGCTTTCTCTTCTCATTATCATGTCCCTTGCACTGCAATACACCTGACTGGCTCCCTGTGCCCCTTTCCCATGCCTCCTCTCTGAGCTTGTAGGGGACTGCAAGAGGTTGATACCTGGCCAAATTCAGGTATTTATACAGATTGCATTTAACAAAATATAAAGGCATACAGAGCTGCATTATTTGCAGCTTGCACATTTGCCTGAAGCCCTGCTTTAATCATCCTTTCCTCTAAAGCAAATATGCCTATGTACACTGCTGCAACTCTTGTTGAAACAAAAAAAGTACATCTCAACTAATGTTCCTAAAAACACAATTTCTACTTTTTTTTTCTTCTGATAGAGTGGGGCACAGGAAGATTATGTAGTCCTCCCGAGATATCAAATGTAGCAGCTGATGCACATCACACAAGGCCACCTGTGACTAAAATACTAGTTTTCAAGTGGACTGCACAATGTAGTATTGCTCTCTCTTTCTACTGATTGACAGATTTTAATTTGTTTCGCAAAACTGCTCTGTAATGTGATCATAGCCAAAATGATAATCATCATTGGGGAGATTATATGTTCTACCATTCAAATTATGTCTGAAAACAAACCTCCTTTAAAAGGCGGGATAAAATACAGACACTGTTTTAATGCCATTGTAAGGGTTACAATGCATAACAACATCTAGCACCTGAAATTGGCAGATTTCGCTGTGGGGAAAAGAATGGGCCAAATAATACATGTAAGAAGCCCAAGAACATGGGCTACTTAGGCAGCAATAATTTAAAACCCAAAAGCAATCAAGTCCACTGTACTATATGGTGCATTAAATTAAAATTATAGGTGACCATAGAGTATGTATTAACAGTTCGATTTTACTGTTAATGACTATTTCCCAAATTTGAAAAAAATAATAGTTTAGATCACTGGTTCTTAAACTGTGTAACCTCAGGACTCACATTTGTCTAAGATCATTAAGTCGTGACCCAAGTCGCACTGCAATTGCAGTACTGCGCAGGTGATCTAACTGGGTGGGAGGTGCATTTGGGGTGCCATATGAATGGCAATACAACACACCTCCCACACCAGAATGCACGGTAGGTACGATTGTATGGTAGAGTGCGATTAATGCACTGTCCTAGTGTGAACAGGTCCTCAAAAACACATACAGACACACACAATCACATACATATATATTTTTTTAAAGATACACCTAGTCTCCTACCTTATGAGAACTGGAGCTGATCCTCAACATTGGGCCCAGTGTAGGCAGCTGTGCTGTGATGGAGCTCCATCCATATGTGTATTGTTTGTACATCTCCCTTGTGCGCGCTGTAGAGCTGTCGGGAGCCAGCACGTGACATCAGTCCGGTCCAGGCACCTCTACAGGGCATGAGAGGGAGCTGTAACAAATGCACGTATGGATGGAGCTCCCTTCGCGGCCATAGCTCCCATTGCAGATTTTTTTTCAGGGTGAGGACAGTCACTGCACAACACAGGCTGTAAAAGCACATGGATGGGGAAGGTTTTAGCAGGTCCGGGCCAATTTAGGGAACCAAAACTAGTAACCTTTGGCCATACGGATGCAGGGTCCTCTATGGCAAGGCACGTGCGTCTGAGAATAGAGATGGCCCCTTGCAGGCCCTGTGGTCTGAGGCCTCTAAAAGGGCTGACAGTTGGCCCATAAAATCCAACATAGTGGCTGAAAACTCCTTTCTGGATACGTAGGAGGCTGGGGGAGCACCTAAAATGGCTAGGGAGGCCCATGAGGAAAGAAAAACAGACAGGGGGCAGAGGTCAGGACAAAAAGAATCAGGTCCTCCCCCGAGCCATTTGCTCAACATGAGCTGGCACCTATGATCCACTATGTCGCGTGAGTAAAATTCCACTGGGTACTCAAAAACACCACTGCTGAGCTGGAAGGGGGGCAACTTCTGTTCCTGTTATTGTAGGTAGGGGAAGCCCAGTACATAAAGGAATCACTGTACTGTTTTCTACTGGGCGAGTTCAGAGAGTGGGGAGGCAGCCAATCCAGGAGTGCAGAGAAACAAAATGGCATGAGCATGTGAAGTGTGGCCAGTCAGGAAAGAGGGTGCACAGGCACTGTAGTGGTCTTGGCACGGGTTGCAAGCACAGTAAAGATGGCACCACATTTAAAATTAGAGTGCGCCAAACTGTCCCTGCTCACTGGCTGCGACCGAATGAATCAGGTATGGTCCCTCAAGGCTCACCCTAGGACTCAATCAAGCCAGAAAGGCAAAAAATTAAGCCACAGTAGTTAAGTAGCAGCTGGATAACGTTCTATCAGAATACTAAAAAGGTAAAAAGTGGGGAAAAAAGAAAAAAATGTTTGCAGCGTTATTTTGCATTGGCACTGGACCAAAATGTAGGCAATGTTTTGCCACACGTCGGAGTGCACTGCGGGCTGTGGTGCCATTGATTTCAATGCAATGCCATGCCCCTTCCCATTACAGAATGACGGGGGGTGTTTAGTGTGCTCCGGGACACACTAATTGGTGTGAACTGGCCCTCCATCTGTGACAACATATACTATATATTGTAACCGGCAAAACGGCAGCAGACATTGCTTTCAACAAAAAAGTATCAAAGGAGTATACATACTTCCTCCTGAGTTGGCCATCTTTTTGCTCTGATGTAGAGATATCTATGAAAATTTACTATTAAACTACCAAAAGTGTTATTTTGTACTAAAACCTTTATCTTATTTCCTAATGATCTTGTTTGTCATTTTATAGAGCCAGTATAAAAAATAAAGTATGGTGGAAAAAATACAAAACATGATGTGTTTCACCAATCATTTGCTGGGGACCTTGACATGGGTGTTTCCATTGCCTATCTACATTGTGTTGGAAGGTGTTCCTCTCTCTCATCTCAGAAAGCTGCGAGGTGCGAATATGTCCATATATCCAGCAAGTAGGCAAATTGATCCACAGCCAGGGCAGATTGATTCAGCACCCAAAAGCGCCTTCATAGTGCTAACATTACGTCACTGAGCAAAGTCAGTGACATAAGACTAGCAGGTAAGTAACCACTGATAGCAATTTTCTCTTTATCTGTCTCTGAAAGGGGACACTGTTCTTCCTACAGTCCACCAATGTAAGTGGTCACTTAACCACAAATATAGAGGGCACTTTTCCAGTGACCAACAATGTAAAGGGACAGTTGCAGGCCGCTGTACATTTCATTACATATAGATAACTGCATTCTGTAAACCATACTGCATGTTCCATAAGTTGAAGCACTGCATCTTGCACATTGTACTGTACATTAAATGTTGAAGGCTGCTGCACAATGCACACTGTTTTGTATGATATATACACTGGACCACTATACTCTCCGGATCACTGCAATCTGAACACTGTGAGACTATGTGTCCCAAACTGCTGCACTGTGTACCCTGTGGTATAGCTTACATCCAAAGTAATAGGAAACATTTAAGTTGAAGGCCCCTTTCACACGTCTGCTCTAATCAGATGTGCCTGTCATTTTTTCGGGTGGACCTGATCAGAAGCTTAATGTTCATTTATGGGCAGGCAGATAAGAGGAAAAAAAAAGTCTGAAAAAAAAACAAAAAAAACGAAATAAAAAACAAAACCAGAAATGAACTCTGGTTCTCTACCCTAAACATGACAGATCGGACGCACAAAAACCTTGTTGCTTCTGGATTCTGAAGTGGAGATCAGTGAACATAGCAGTTGCCAACACCTGCCATGGCCATCCGGGCCCGCAGGAGAGCTAGGAAAACATGGCATGCTGCAGAAAGGGAGCAGGTGGCTTTACAGCCCTGCTGCAACTCCAATCTCAAGGAGTCATTACCCTTGTTCCAGGAAAAGCACAATTTCAAAGTTTCTACTCAATCTGGTTTGCTGTCCCCAAACCAAAAATGGGCAATTCAACCCAGTCTGGATCTAAAGCCACTCAATTTGCATGGAAACCACTAGGTCAGTCATAGCTTCCCTCTATCCAGGAGACTTTCTGGGCTCCATGAACATTAAAGCAGACCTTTACACCCAAAACTCAGATCCCACTAATGCATTCCTCTATGTATGCTGATTATTAATAACCTAGACATGTCAGGTGTAAAATGCTGTTATATTGAAATACTTACACTTGCAGAGCA